TAATGGATGATGATACAGTGATTCTATTATAGTTAAAATTCACTAAAGCAAGACTGGGAAGAATAAAAAGGCCCTGAGAGAAATAATCTCCCTACAACCATCTTTATTTTCCTTTGCTAACTTGAGCTAGCTCCCTAATTGTCCTCCAGATTTATTGAACCCTGGTATGGAAAAACATATTTACTTGAAAGAATGAGTGCTCAAGCATTATCTTATTATTCTCTCTTGTAGAGTCATTATAGTGTCTACTGCATTTGCATGACATCCTGGATGATGCAATTGGTACTGTTTTTATACCATGAGGATTTTATATATATATAAATATATGCATGTGTATATATATATACAATATGCATATATGCTTCCATATATACATATATCTGTGTATGTATATGTATGTGTATGTAATCCATGTAATCTGAGCTCATTAGTTCTCAGAATAGTTTTGCGTTTAAAAGTGTTCCTGTATAAGAACGTCCTTTGTCACTATTATTATTCAATATTGTCCTAGAAATACTAGCTATATAGCAGTAAGACAAGAAAAAGAAATTGAAGGAAGCAAGAATAGGCAACGAGGAAACAGAACTATGACTCTCTGTAGATTTCCACTCTGTGCAGATGATATGATGGTATGTCTAGAGGATCAACTAAAAAACTGGTTGAAACAATCAACAAATGGCTATCTAATCTCTATTTGTCTACCACTGACAAAAATTTCATCACTTTTAAAGATAGCTCATTATTTTTAGTTGTTTTTGTTATCTGTAGTCATTTAGAAGTTCTTCCTTACGCTGAAAATAAATATTTCCCCCTGTAATTTATGCCCATTATTACTAGTTCTAACCTCTGCAACCAAATGGAGTAAGGCCAGTATCTAATCCTTAGTACAACCCTTTAGACTACAAAAGATACTGCTTATGTCCTTACCTACTCCACCAACCCTAGTCTTCTCTCTTCTAGGGTAAACATCAATAGTTTCATCTTTCAATATCTATATAAAATGGTTCTTTGTAATCTCACTCCATTGGTTGCCTTGTTATTTACTTGCATTTTTAAATTATTATTCTTTAATATGATTTTCAAGTTTAAAGCGTGGAATAACTTGTAAATGTGCTTCTGAAATATAGCACTTAAAATAATTTACATTCTTACTGCACCTTAAGGTTTGTAAAATGTTTTTCTTGCAACTAAATGGAATGATTCTGTGGTAGAGTCTTGAGAACAATAGACATGGAGTCAGAAAGGACTTGGTTTTGAGTTTAGTAGCTGTGCAACTAGGGACAGGTCATTTAGCTTTCATGAACTTTGGTTTCCCCCTCTGTACAATGGGCATAATCATACTTAGGGTGCCTGGCTTATAAGTTGTTGAGCATCAAATGAGGCGATGTAGAAAAAGCATTTTGTAAACATTAAAGAATGTTTACATAAATGTCAGATATTTTTATTTTGTGATCTAACCAAGTCAGAATATAGTAGTTCTGTCACCTCTTTTATTCTAGATCCTGTTTCTAGTAATACAACTTAGTCAGCTCCATGTCACGTATGACTGTGCTTTTAGTCCACCAAGATGCATGGATCTATAATCCATGAACTTTTATCTAGCCATACTTCCCTAATACTCAACATGGGCAGTGATTATTTTTAAATTAAGTGTTAAAATATTTTTAAATTTAAGTGCACTCTTAAAAAGTGCATTTACTCTTATTTTATTCCACTATTTTAGATTATTTTCATCTCTAATTCATACAGGGATTTATAGAGAATTTAAAAAGGTAAGGTTCTCCAAGCTAGTCCAAGTCTTTATTAGCAAACATTTAAAACATCATTTTAGAAACCAATTTTGGTTAAGTATAAACATGCCGTTCTCATTCTTAATCATGAAATGGCAATTTTTTGATATGGGGATGTACAGATTTTATATGTGTTACAGAGTCAGAAGAAGTATTTGGGCTATTTTTTTTTTAGAAATAAAGGAAACTAAGGAATGTTTGTGAGGAGAAATGAATTATAGGGGCTTTCAGACACTGTTGGAAGAAGTTTAGAATTATAGAATCTTAGAGTTTAAAAGTCCTCAATGGTCATCTGAAGTTAGAGGACATGAATATTACATCTGCCTTTAGTGCTGACTACCTATATGACCTTGGACAAGTCATTCAACATCACTAGCTTCAATCTCCTCCTCCACAAAATGAGGCATAGGGGGAAAGAAATTTGACTAAATGGCCTTGGAGATCCTTTCCTGCTCTAAATCTGTGCTCCAATGATTTAGTCTAATTCCTACTTAAATCATGATAATTATTATTGTTATTCTTATATTAATAATAGTGATAACTCAGATTTCTATATTAAGTCTGAAAAGTACAGATAGATTGGTGATTAAGCATGATAAAAAAAATGGAGGATATTTCTACATATAACCATCAAAAAACTATAGTAATACCACTCAGCAATAACACTACTAGGTCTATACCCCAAAGAGATCAAAAAAAAAAAAGGAAAAGGGCCTGTATATACATAAATATTTATAGCAGCTCTTTTTGTAGTGGCAAAGAATTGGAGATTGAGGAGATGCCCATCAATTAGGGAATGAACAAGTTGCGTTATGTGATTATGATGGAATATCATTGTGGTATAAGAAATGATGAGCCGGATGCTTTCAGAAAAACCTGGGAAGACTTACATGAACTGATGCAAAGTGAAGTGAGCAGAACAAGAAGAGTATTGTACACAGTAGAAGTAATATTGTATGATGATCAACTGTTAATGACTTAGCTATTCTCAGCAGTACAGTGATCCAGTACGATGACAATTCTGAAGGACTTATGATGAAAATGTTATCCCTCTTCAGAGAAAGAAGTGATGAAGTCTGAATACGGATTGAGGCATACTTTTTTTTTTACTTTCTTTATTATTCTTGGGGGTTTTTTAGGTCTATATTTTCTTTTACAACATGACTAATATGGAAATGTTTTGCATGACTGTACATGTATAATCTATAGCAAATTGCTTGCTTTCTCAAGGAGGGATTAGATGAGAGAGGAAGAGAGGGAACTTAGAACACAAAATAAGAAACAAATGCTAAAAATTTTTGTTTACATGTAATTGAGAAAAAATAAATTAAATGCTAAAAAACTAACATTACTGTAGAAAAACACACATATTTAAATATAATAAAGTACCACTTTTTATGAACCTCATTCAGGGCATTTTTCAGTTAAAAGCAAAAATGTATGTTGTACTAGTTTAATTGATTATCTTTGAAGCTACTGGTCTTACTGACCCTCACAGTTGGTCTCTTCTTCAAGACTCTGGTGTTCCTGCTTGTGATGTTAACAAGTGGAAGTGGATCTTAATTGAGAGTACTTCCCTTTTCTCAGTAATGCCAGTCAACCCAAGGACTCAGCTATGCATGATTGCTGGGAAAACTAACTTCTTTATCATAATTCTCCTTAAGGTGTCCAACTGAATTGAATGGGTTCAGGAGGGTTCCACACTTCTATATATCTGCACAATTTTCTCCTGAATCTTTGGGTCTTGGACAAGAATCAGAATTGTGAAATACTGCATGTTCACTTTGCTTTTCCCTCATTTTCATGTTTTTCCCCTTCCAATCAGCATTAAACCAATTTAGGTAAGTTATTAGACTCCAGACTACCTCGTTGAGACATCCAAAAGCTGTCCATCAATTTAAATTTTTGCAATCACTTTACAAGCCTAATTCTGTTATATGCTCTAGAACAGGGGTGGGAAACCTGTGGTCTTCTAGGTCCTTGGGTGCAGCCTTTTGATTGAGTCCAGGTTTTAGAGAACAAATCCTTTTATTAAGGGGATTTGTTCTATGAAGTTTGGATTTAGTCAAAGGGCTGCACTTGAGGACCTAGAGGGCCACATGTGGCCTTGAGGGCAAAGGTTCCCCACCCCTTTTCTAAAACATTCGCTAGTACAACCAGTGTGTAAGCAATTAAAATGATATTGTTTTCCCCGTGCTGTTCTTTGTTTACTGATAATCATTCTTTAGGATATTTACTCTATTTTTTCAATTAAATATTTTTAATTAATACAAATCGATTTTCTCTCCCTCCTACCCCAACCCCATTGTTTAAAAAAAAAAA